GGGATTTTGACCAGCACGTTGAACATGTCTATATATATATATATATATATATATATATATATATATTAAAAAATTAGAAAAAACTAAAAAATTAACAAAATGAGCTGAGCTCGAGCTTGAGCTTGAGCCCGGAAAATGAAAGTTCGATGAGCTCGAGCTCGCAAAATTAAACACGAGCTTGAGCTTGAGCCTGGAAATTCTGGCGAGCTCGGCTCGTTCAGGCCAAAAAAGTTTGAGGAAAAAAACAAATACTTATAAAATATTATGTCGAAAAGTAAATAAAGAAAAACAACTTGAATTTGTTTTTTTTCCTTTCTTGATTGTCCAAAAATAAACATAAAAAATCTACGAGAAGAAAACCATAACCAGTTTTTATATTAATTAAATTCCAAGACTGACTTTTCACTCCGAATTAAGAAGTATTGCTGAAGTCATCATCATCATCATCCCATATCTTACTATTCTGTATCTCACTGCAATATTCCTCAAAAGTCGCGTTTGTAGCACACGCGCCGCCACCTGGGCGTGGATTCGAGCAAGAGGCGGAGAAAGAATATGAAGAGGAAGAAGATGAAGATGGGGTTGATGAATTTTCATTTGAGGTGAGCAGAATCTGATGGGGTGCAATCACTGGGATTTCGTCAATGGAGAAATCGGAATTGTTGACGAATAGTAATTCAGTAGAGTCAAATGGGATCTCGATTCTGTCTTCGGTTGACTGCTGTAATGAAGTGGGCTCCGCCTGATCATCATCCTCCTCTGCCGTTGTCTTTGGTTCCGCCGCCACTTCCCGCGGTGGTTCGTCATCGGCGGCGGGTGGTGGTGGCAGAGGGTTGTGGGTGAGAGGGTCGATTCCCATATTCCTTAGCTTCTTCTTGATATGTGTGTTCCAGTGATTCTTGATACCGTTATCTGTTCTTCCTGGCAGATGAGAAGCAATCTTCGACCATCTGTAGAAAAAATTACACATATACTCTTGAGGTATGCTAAAATAATTTTAAAGTCCTTGTAGTATTGGTAAAATACAATCATCCCGAAACATTGTTAGAAACCCTAATGGAATAATGCATTGTTAGTCACCCGTGAAACTAATAGGATTCTAATGGACTATTAGTTTCAAACAGTGGTGGAAAAAACATAGAGTAAGAGGGTGACATGACTCTCCTAACATTTCTTAAATCCTTATTATTTTATATAATTTTTATAAATTTTCGTCTATCGTAGCATTGACGGCCCCGCAAGAAATAAATATAGTACACATCAGTCCCCAAGACATGAAATATTGGTTCGTAATTGTTTCAAGGGTGTGACTGTAATTATCAATTCCACAGGGACCTTAAAGTTATTTTAGCATATCTCAGGGGTGTGTGTATAATTTACTACCACATTTCTAACTGCGTTAGTTTTTTATGCGTAGCTACCTTTTTACCTTTATTTTTACTTGATGGAAATAGTTATTTTCTGACTTTGTAACTTGGGCGAAAAAAAATACATACACGTACAGCAAAACAAAGTGGTGGTTCTAGAAAAATATGACACTGTTATGTTTGGGCCTAAACATGAATTGAGAATTTGAATTACCGAAAGACATTTTTAAACAGGATAATTATTTATAAATTTAAAAGGAAATTATAAATAATTTCTGGATTATAAAATTTGTTCATAAAGTATGGGTAAAAAAAACGGATGCGAACGAAAACTAGTAAAAAATTGGGAAGAAATTGAGTACAAATGAGTGAAGACTAATGCACACCTTTATACACAATCAAATGAGTATTTTGGTCTGAAATTTACCAACGACTAATGCAACGATGAGTACTCAACAATTGAAATGAACAACTTTTGTAACAAAGATGGACGATATTGATTGTTTCGTCGCATTTTATAATAGCGCGAGTATATGTGACAGTAATAATAGTACAGAGAAGCAAACGTTATTTACTCCTAAAATAAAAGCAACAACTTTATAGTAGAAAAAACGAGAACCTGTTTCCAAAGCGGGCATGAAGATCAATGACGGTATTCTCTTCGGATTTAGAGAGCAAACCTCTCTAAAGATCTGGCCTTAAATAGTTCGTCCATCTCAATCTGCA